GCTATTCTTCATTCCTCTGGGACCTCCCCTGCAGCCAGTGAGGATACAAAGATTTCCCTCAAGACCCCAGTGATTTCCTCCCTTGCCTCTCTCAGTATTCTGGAGTATATCCCATCAGGCCCTGGGAACTTGTCTACCTTAATGTTTTTAAAGACCCCCAATAGCTCCTCCCTTTTGATCTCATCATGACCCAAACTATCTACGCACCCTTCCCCAGACTCATCATCCACCAAGTCCTTCTCTATGGTGAATTCTGATTCAAAGTACTCATTTAATAGCTGACCCATTTCCTCTGGCTCCATATATAAATTCCCTTCCTTGTCCCTGAGTGGGCCAATCTTCTTGCTCTTTAAATATGTATAAAAAGCCTAGGGAATTTCCTTAATCCTGTTGGCCAATAACTTTGCATGACCCCTTTTAGCCCTCTTGACTCCTTGCTTAAGTTTCTTTTGACTTTCCCTGTATTCCACCCTTGTTTCATGTGTTCCCAGCCTCCTAGCCTAGATAAATGCTTCCTTTTTTTGATTAGGCTCTCAATATCTCTCATTATCCAAGGTTCCCTAAACTTGCCATACTTATCCTTCATCCTTATAGAAACGTGCCGGTTCCGAGTTCCCAGCAACTTACACTTGAAAGCCTCCCACATACCAGATGTTGATTTGCCCTCAAACATCTACCTCCAATCTACATTGTTCAGTTCCTGCCTAATATGGTTGCAATTTGCCTTCCACCAATTGAGCACCTTCACCTGACAACTATACCTATCTTTATCCATCAGTACCTTAAAGCTTACTGAATTGTGATCACTGTTCCCGAGTAGCTCCCCTACTGAGACATCGACCACCTAGCCAGGCTCATTCCCCAATACTAGGTTCAAAAGAAACTGTCTTTTTCTGAGAATGTAGGAGTTAAGACAAATTGTGTAAGTGCATATAAGGTGAATCTAAACTGAGGAAAATATTGACAGGGTAAGATAAAGTGAAACAGGGGCAATACTTGTGTGGAGCATAAACAATAGTATAGATTTGGTGGGCAAAATAAACCGTTGCTATGCTGTAAATTTCATTGTCCATGTCGGCCAGACAAGGTCTGCTCCTATGATGCTGCTTGGCCTGCTGTGTTCATCCAGCCCTGCACCTTGTTGTCTCGGATTCTCCAGCATCTGCAGTTCCTACTATCTCCAAGGTCTGTTAAGAACACTATTCTCCACAGGCTGTCCAACATTGATATTGTTAATGGTACAATCCCTACCCATGCTTTTGAAATACCCCAGTGTGCTGAAAAATCTTCTAACACTTAGTGGATCTTCTCTTCCAGACTTTAAACATGTATTTTTCTTTTTTGGCATAGTTGATTAATTTGATTAAACTGCTTTATGGGTCTCAGCAATAACTCCAGAAGGCTATTCTAACTTTAAATCCTTCTCTTTCGGTAGTGATACTAGTCAAGGACCTTCTTCAGTCAAAACAGAAATGTGAAAGTTGAAATATTCTGTCAACGAATCTGCAGAAAATGGTGGCACCCAGACAGACTGAAAAAGGCAAATGAAAAATTTGTAAATGAAGAAAATAAAGCAGTAGTTAGAAAAGGATATCATCAGCATGAATGAACAATGAAGAAAGATTAAAGAACCTATCAAGGAAAGAAGTGAACAGTGCATTAGGTTTTCAGAAAAAAAAAATCAAGGAACCATTGGTCATTATAGCAATATTGCAAAGAATGGAAGGGTAGCGAAAATGGAAGAATATTAATACTGACAAAGGCATATTGAAAAATAGACACTTGAATAATGAGTTAACAAGAGAAAAGGAATGAGAACAATGCCTTTAAAGACCAGCGTTTTACACTTGAAGATTGGATTGGCTAGGAAGAGTAAACATATGCAACAAAGAAAGGAGGTTAAGGGAATTCAGTACAAAAAGTAGAAAACAGCAAGGAGAGAGAGTTAGGAAGGTTTTCAATTTACAAACCCTAACAAAAAAGGATAAAAATGGAAGAAGCATATTGAAAAGTTACATGCATAAAAGTAAAAATATGAGAAGAAAGCAATGTTATGTTGAATTAAAAACCAAAAGAACTGTGGATGCTATAAATCAGGAACAAAAACAAAGTTGCTGGAAAAGCTCAGCAGGTCTGGCAGCATCTGTGAAGGAGAAAACGAAGTTAAAGTTTCACGTCCGGTGACCCTTCCTCAGATCTGAAGAAGGGTCACCAGACCTGAAACGTTAACTCTGTTTTCTCCTTCACAGATGCTGCCACACCTTGATGTTGAATTCATTGGCCTACACAAAAATACTAGTGACTTAGATAAGAGCAGCAATAAGTGAGATAAAAAAATGGAAAAGCAGCTGGAATAGATCAAATATCTACAGAGTTGATTATAAACATGGGATAGAACTTAACATGATGGTTTACTAAGCAGCGATAAGATATTTACTCATCAGGAGGATAGCCATGACCATAACTGCACCACGGAACACCAGCCTACGGTGTCCGCAAGGGTCACGAACCTCATTTCGCCTAGTGATCTCCTCCCACTGCCTCCAAGCTCATAGTCCCCGAACCCCGCCCAGCCTGCTTCTACCTCCTTTCCAAAATCCACAAACAGGACTGCACAGGCAGACCCATTGTTTCTGCCTGCGTCTGCTCCACAGAACTCATCTCTTCCTACTTCAACTTGTTTTTTTCTCCCCTTGTCCAGTCCCTCCCTAATTACATTCCCACGTGATTCCTCTGACACGTTATGCTGGTTTTAGAATTTGCAGTTTGTGGGCTCCAGCGCCTCCTCTTTACCATGGATATGAAACCATGAACTCATCCTCACTCTGAGCAACATCTCCTTTAACTCCTCTCATGTTCTTCTGGTCAAAGGTGTAGCCACGGGTACCCACATGGGCCCCAGTTACAGCTGTCTCTTTGTGGGGTACATGGGACATTCCTTGTTCCAGTCCTACACCGGTTCCCACCCGCAACTCTTTCTCTGGTATATCGATGACATCAGCAGTGCTGCTTCCCTCTCTGAGAAATTAGAAGAGTTTATCTATCATGCTTCCAATTTCCACCTTGCTCCCACCTTTACCTGGTCCATCTCTGACCCTTCCCTTCCATTCCTCAACATTTCTGTTCCTATTTTTGAAGATAGGCTGGCCTCTAATATCCACTACAAACCCACCGACTCCCACAGTAAACTTGACTATACAACATCACACGTGCTTCCTGTAAAGACTCTATTCCATTTTCCCAGCTCTTCTGTCCCTGTTGCATCTGATTAGAAGATGCAAACTTCAACAAGGGGAGCCTCTGAAATGTCCACCTTCTTCTTCAACTGAGGATTCCCCGGCATCGTGGTTGACAAGGCCCTCAACTGTGTCCAATCTATCTCACACACTTCAGCCCTCTCGTCCCTCTCTTTCCTCCCACAACAGCGATAGAGTCCCTCTTGCTCCCCCAAAACCATCCCACCAGCATACAAATCCATAGGATCATTAGCCACCATTCCTGCCACCTCTGGTGAGATGCCACTACCTGACACATATTTCCCTCCCCTCCCTTGTCAGCCTTCCGCCAGGACCCTTTCTTTTGCGACACTTTGGTTCACTCAGCCTTCACTCACAACACTTCTCCACAGTGCCTTCCCTTGCAATTGCAGAAGATGTAACACTTGTCCATCTACTTCCTCCCTCCTCAGTATCCAAGGCCTCAAGCACACGTTCCAGGAGTAGTAGTACTTTAGCTGCACTTCACTCAATCTAGTCTACTGTATTTGCTGCTCACAACGTGGTCTCCTCTACATTGGGGAAACGAAGTGCAGACTGGGTGACCTCTTTTACCTGCCACTTCAACACATCTGTGTTCCCTGGAAAACGTCTGGCTCAAGCTTGCTGCAGTGCTCCAGTGAAGCTCAGTGCAAGCTGGAAGAACAACACCTCATTTTCCACGTGGGAACACTGCAGCTTTCTAGACTCAGTATAGAGTTTAACAATTTTAGGGCTTGAACACTTTCTCCCACATTCTCATTCTAATCCCCACACACCAGGCCTTGTCAATACATGGGCTGCTATCACACACAACCCATTGTCAGCCGCAAATAGCCCCCATTAGCAGCTATTCACTCTCCCAGGCTGACCTTTACCCACTCCTTTGTCTAGCCAATTGTTTTACTTTCTCTCTCTCTCTCTCTTTGGGCCCTATCTCTACCTATCAGTTATTCTTCCCCACTCCCCATCTTTTGCCTAAATACCAACATTTTCCTAGCTACCATCAGTTCTGAAGAAGGGTCACTGGACCCGAAATGTTAACTGTTTTCTCTCCACAGATGCTGCCAAACCTGTTAAATTTTTCCAGCAATTTGTGTTTTTGTTGCCATGTACTCATTCTTCATTTACAGCTACTTATTGCTAAATATACACTTATTGCATTGCTATTGGGAAAGTGCAATCGTTGATAAGAACTGAAATGTTCCACAGAACCTGTGACACATGATGAAAAATGAGTGAAGAATATGGATTCACACCAATAATGCTAATGTATAAATAAACATATCTACAAATAAACATATATTGCATGTATTTGGACAGATGGCAAGATCTCTTTTAATCAACAAATACCAAAATTATTTGGCAGTTTTAAGTAACTAGTTTATTTTCCAAAATAGCTTAAAAGTCTCTAGAAAAAGGGTGTTTAGCTGAAATTCAGCGTATTTTATACCGCTTTTCTTCCATTTCTGTTATTCAAGTATAACAGGCTATGAATGAATTTACAGGTTAAGATGTGGAAAAACAAAACATTGACAGAGAAAAAGTAGTCTCATGTGGAATTATCTACTAATATGTCTGTGTCATGATCTGCAACTTACGATCTTCAGATGCTTCTTCTGTCTTATAAAATGAAGACAACATTTTTAACCAGGAAAAATGCAATGCTCATTTTCTGTCCCAGGTGATGCTGGTTTATTTCTTTGAGACAAGCAACATCTCATGTTAAAATCACTGAGATTTTACCTGCCAAGCTATAAGGTCCTTCAGCTTTTCAATCTTCTCAAGGTCTTCAGTGTGTTCTTGCATGTATTTTTCCGTGAAGAATGCCTAGCATGAAAACAAAACACCATTGGAAACCCATTTTTAAGTTGTTTTTTTCCATAATGGATCTAGCATGCCTAGGTGTGGTTCTGTAGCAATTGGAAGTATATGATTGATTGGTGGTGGTGAGGGTGCGGCTGGTGTTGAGGATGGGGATATCAAACTTCTCGTAAATTTTACTAAACACTCAATGAAGAAATTCTAAAGAGTATTGAATATCAAGAAAATATGTAGACACTGGGATTAATTTATCCATAATTTTGCTAAAAATAACAAAGTACCAGTGAAAAATGATTAATCAATATTAGCTTGGATAATCTTTGAATTAATCTTGTTATTCAAAAGCACAGAAATTTTAAAAATGTTTCATATGTTTGTATCAGTATTGTTAAACACAAAAGGGGGAAAAAAATCAATGAACAAACCTTTTCATAATTGGTGAAACCCCCCATCACTGCAGGATCAACGATTCCATTCAGCAGCATGGACAGAGGGTTAATGGGCAGACTTGGGTCATTCATGTGTTGTTGAACCATGTTAGTGATCTTCTCATTTGTTAACTGCATTGTCTCAATTGCGTTCTCCAAAGGGCTTATCTCAATCTGCAAGGATACATGCATAAAATATAGCGTTCAAACTAGCACCTCTCTACACAAAACTAGATATTAAAATGTTTTATTCAAGTTGACAAAATATTTTGCTGTTCAGTTTTTTAATCTTTTCCACAAATAGTAATTAGCAGCAATACGTGGTTTATGATCTAAAAACGGCCAGGAAAATTCAGGACTCATGTGGTTCATAATCCTGTGGATTGAAATATTTTAGTAAATAAATAATGAGAATGTTGCTGTTTTATATTAAGCAAATTCTAGAGGGTTATCTTCCTCCCTGTGATTTTTCTTAGAACTTACCAGTCTAAGACTAGTGCCTACAAGTACATGCAGGCAATGCCCTGGGTTATGACCTGGCTCTGCGCCAGGCTGTTTGCAAGTCAATTTGTACGTAGTTTGGAACGTGGGAATAAATAAGTTGCAGGAAAATATAAAATAGCAGTTCATAAGTACAAGGAAATGTTTGTTTGTTGGATCTTTAAAATTAATATTAATACATCCCTGTATGAGATCATGTCCTTAAATTCTAGCATTCTTAACTCAGACATTTGCAAATTCGGGGTCCCTTATATTGGTAAGCTACATAAAATTGAACAAATTGTTTTATGCATAGCTATAAAATGGGTGGGAAAAGTCTTGCCATCTATAGTCTTGGATGTCAGTCAACTATGACTCAGCTTTACAATCTTCACTAATACATTAAATATATTTAAACTGCATAATGCCATCACTATAGCCAACACCAACAAATATTGAAAACACAGAACAATGGTGTAGATTTTGGAGTCAATTGCAAGTAAATAACACATCATGTTCTTTATGCTGACAGCTTTTCATAAACTTCTCATGGGCACGTTATGATCATTCAGAGTCCAATGCAATGCCCTATTATCTACATCAAATTAGGATGTAGGAGAACAGAGTGGCAAATGCTATAGCAGCCTGCAGAGTCCAAATCAGGAAGTGTGTAATTGAATAATTAATTTATTGCAAGATCATATAAAGAAAGTAAAATAAAAAGGAGGGATAGAAAAATGGACTGAGAAACAAAAGCAAAAGAAGAGTAAAAAAGAAAAAAAATAAGTAAAATCAAAAAATGAAATTCCACATGCAAACTTATAAACATTAAGTTTCAACTTCAGTGAAATTGTTTGTTTGGTAGCAATTAAAACTAGCTCAATATTACAAATTCACCTTTTCTTGGACGAACGCCATCCAAATTTTTATTCTACATGTAAATGCGTAACTAGTGGATGACCATTGCTAGTTCACACTATTCATGTTTTTGATTGCTGAATCTTTGGCTAAATAGTTTTGGATTGAAGCTTGAGAAGGTATCAGACAACAGAGACAGCACCTTTGCAATTTCTTAATGTAACAATGTATATGCAGACGTTGGACACTGCAGTCCAATTTAACACTGATACTATTATTCCTTGAACATATTCTATAAGGATGTAACAAATAAGATAGATTAAGGGAAACAAGTAGATCCAGTGAATTCAGATTTACAAAACTCTCATAAGGTGCCACATAAAAAGTTCCTCCACAAGTTGACATGTTAGCATGGTAAGAGAATTGGCTAATTAACAGGAGAGACAGAGTTGGGATAAATGGACCATTTTCAGGTTGGCAAACTGTCACTCAGTTGAATTCTGTAGGGATTAGTGCCTGAACTACTTACCATCTATATTAATGACATGGATAAAAGGAATAGACTGTCTTGTAGTCATGTTACCTGATGGTAAGAAATCAAGTTGTGAAGAGGATACAAAGAGTCTACAAAAGGATATTGATAGGTTAAGTGAGAGGGTAAAAAATGGCAGATATAATGTGTGATTGCCCATTTTGGCAGATAGAATAGAAGAGCAGATAATTTAAATAGAGAGATAATGCAGAAGACTATAATACAGAGGAATTTAAGTACCTGCATATGAATCACAGAAGATAGCACTCAGGATATAGCACTAATTAGGAAGGTAAACAGAATATTGTCTTTTATTGCAAGGGGAAAGGAGTTTAAACATAGGGAAGTCTTGTTACAACTGGACAGGGCATTGGTGAGACAGTACTTGGAGTAGCGTATATAGTTTTATCATTTTACCTGAGGAACAATATATTTGTATTGGAAGCAGATCAGAAAAAGCTCACTGGGCTGATTCCTGAATGATGGTGTTGTCTAATGAGGAAATGCAGAACAGGTTGACCAATACCAATTGAAGTTATGAATCAGAGGTGAGCTATTTAACATATAACATTCTGAGGAGGCATGACAGGGTAGATATTGAAAGGATGTACCCTCCTTTCAGGAATCTATATATAGGGACAAAAACAAAGTTGCTGGAAAAGCTCAGCAGGTCTGGCAGCATTTGAGAAGTTAAAAACAGAGTTAACGTTTCGGGTCTGGTGACCCTTCCTCAGAACTATTTATAGGGAAACAGTTTAAAAATAAGGGGTTGCACATTTAAGATGGAGATTAGGAGGCATTTCCTCTCAGAGGGTCATTTATATTTGGATTTTCCTATTCAGAAAGCAGTGGAAAGTTGTGCCATTGAATATATGCAAGGCCGAGTCAGACAGATTTTTTATTGACAAGGGAGATAAGAGAGCTGTGGGGGACACAAGGAGAAGTGCAATCCAGTCCAAAATCAGACCAAAATCTTATTGAATGAGAGAACAGATTTGATGGGCCAAAATCTTATGAATTTTACTAATGATTTACCTGCTCCAAATTCCAGCTAAAATGCAGATAATACCAGCATCACATTTATGAATTCCTTAGGAAATATGTGGATTTCGAGATTTCTTTGCATACACACATGCATCCATAACCTGGACATATATAAACTACCTGGTTTAAAAAATTGTGGAATTTTGGAGAGTGAGTTATGCGCAACACTACAAAACACCCCAATTTCCTTCACCTCTGAAGTCTTCCGTATTTGAATTCTGACTGGTAGATTACTTGGCTGATAAGAGAAAACCATATAGCAGAATGCCAAGAAATAGAATGCATGCAAAATAAATTCATCAAATTTCCTGTTGAAACAAATCTATGTCTCAAAACTGGCTTCCTTCACTTCTCAAATCAGAGTAGGTTAGGAATAGGATTAACACTTGTCTATTAGTATGTATCTCAAAACACTGTTCTCCACTGCGATAAAAATTGCTCAAACTAATTTTTCTCATTGTATTGGCAATATTTTTCAGCATTTTAAAAATTAATTCTCACTTGTGGCCTTCTGTTTTCTATTTTGATTGGTACATTTATATTGCACAAGCATGAGCTAACGTTAATAATTCAACAACTTCGCTGATTGCAGGATTTCAAACTTGCTGCACCTAACATGCATGAAGGATGATTAAATTAGTTCAAACTTAAGTTTTACAATTCCAAGAGAAAATATACTGGTACAGAATTGGTGCCTTTTGGGTCCAACTGTTTGTACTGAGACTTGCTAACGTATGACCATTTAAGATTTGTGCACATCTTATTGAGATGGGGAAGCTCTTGAGCATTTCTGGCATTACCAAAATGATAATGACATTGGGTACTTCTAAGTGTCTAACTTTGGGAGTGCACCTATGGAGGAAGTTTCAGGGCATTAGTTAAAAAAACAAAATTAAATTCTACATGAATTGCATTTCTGAACGCCCGCTTTATTGTGATTGAGCATCTCTTCACAACTGCAGAGAACTATTAATTAAAATTCCAATAAGCTTCACTGTGGACAATGAAAACCTAATTTAGTCACTAAATCTGTAGTCGAATTGTAGATATAAACTTTAACCTGTAATTCTGCATAAAATATGCAGTACAGAAACAGGTCATTCAGTCTGTTCCAGTATTGATACTCCCTGCACTTCTCTCGCTGTATCTCTATATTATTTAATCCTGTCCAAGTTTTAGTTTCTATATTATGTGATTTATTAACTGATATTATACATATTATTCTATATTATTTAATCCTGTACTTGTTTTAGTTTCCTTTTGAAAGATCTAAACTAGAATACTGCCTACATTTTTCATCTTCTAATTAAGAAATCATATAAATGCGTCAAAAGTGATTCAGGCAAGGTTTACTAGACTGATTCCTAAGGTTGAGGGGATTATCCCATGACAACATTGGGCGATTATATGAGTACAATACTCTAGAAATCCAAGTACTCTCTGTCTACACATCCTCTGCATCCACAGTGCATGTTACTCCTTCACAGGAGAAGTAGTATTAGATTGGCACTCGATGATAAAGTTGCTATAGTTCTACCAGACCCCAGGGTTGCTTTCCCATTAGAGAGGTGTGATCGGTCATGAATTTAACATTAAAGTCACATGCCTCAAGCAAAGGGAGATGCTGAAAAGGCTGGTAAACTAACATCTTGGTCATCTCAGCCAGTGCAGGACTTGAACTCATGTTGGTGTCACACTGCATCACAAAACATGTAAAGCTCATTTCAAGAGCTGGTGCAATATAATGGGCCAAATGGCCGCCTTCTGTGCCATAAAACTTCTGTGAAAGAACTCAGTAAATTGATTAATCATCATAGATTTTTGACAAAATCAAGCTGACTCATCTGACCACCCTGAACTTTTCTGAGTATGGTTCTATAATATCAGTTAATAAATCAGATCCAAGCTCTATGGCCCTGCCACAGCCAGCTGTGAATGGGGGTGGAAAAGTAGGCAACTGACCAGAGAATCAGGGTCCACACATATCCCCATCAATGATGGGGGAGTCCTGCACTCAATGGAAAGATAAGGCTAAAGCTTTCAAAATTTGCATTACGGAGACATTGTTACTGGGTCACTAAGACTAGGAACTCTATTCAAGAGTACACAACATTCCTGATGAACAGGCAAAAGGAAAAAGTAGGTGGTGTAGCTTATTAATAAAGGAAGGTATCAGTGTGGTGGTGACTAGTGAAAGAAGTATTCTAGATCATGATATGGAAGTAAAATTCAATTATTATGCTCACTGCTACCTAGGGGT